TGTAATGCAGTGTCAAACTCCTGGTACTCTGCAGGCATTTGCTGAGGACCTGTTGAGCAGGAAAGGAGCCTGAGTGTGTTTTGGAAAGCAGCAATGTGTAGGTAGATATTACCCATGTTGGGGACAGACGTGAGTAACGAAGCCACCCTTGTTTTATGAAGGCTGACCGTGAGCAGCAAGTAACGTTTGCAGGCCCAAAGGAGGCAAATTTGCTCAAAACTTGTGTGATTCAGGCCTTGGTGAGACCTGTGGATGCTGTGAACATCCTCTCCCTATTGGTGGAAAAGTTTGATGGGGCTGATGATGGAGTGATGTGTCTCTTCTGGGTTTTTCCCCCCTGCTCAGTCTGTGGAGCATTGATTACAAAAGCCATTGCAAGCAGGCTGTAGAAGGAGTTTTATTGTGACTTTACTCAGCACAGCTTGGTTCCCATGAACTGAGTTTAGGCTAGGAAGAAAGGAAGTCAGAAGTTGTACTAGTGTGTCTCAGTCATGGATGGTCCAAAGCCCAAAACACAGCCAGGCATCCACAGGGGCCACCAGAAGCTGAAACCCACTTAGAAACTCCAGAGTGGACATGCAGGCTCTGGGTGATGCCCAGGAGTTTCTCTTTCCACTCAGTGGGCACAGACACATCATTTTAAGGATGCTTTAACGTGAGCCTCTTTGGTGGTGATTCTAAATTAGGCTGCTTTGCTTTGTTCTTCAGTGGTGTAGGAGCTTTGCAGAGTTCAGCTGAGGGTGACTGAACCTGCAGAATTCCTGAAGCAATCTGCAAGCACGTTTGAATATGCCTTAGGTCTGTGCTTTCTCAGATGCAAAGAAAACTACTCTCCACGCTTTCAACTTGTATTTTAGTCAGAGACCAATGCAAAAACTGAAGATCCACAAATTAAGTTAATTTTACATTTAAGAAATGTAAGGCCAGAAGGGATCAGTTAATATAATTGCTTGTATGTTGTTGTTTTACTAAGGAGTTTTTGTTTGTAAACAAAGCAACTTATATTTGCTTCTGGGATTATATTCTGTCTCACTTGACATTAAGAGAAAGAAATTTATTACTTCTTCCAGTGTCTAATTTCAGTCCTTTTCCTTCTCATTCCAAACTACTTGGACTCACTATCTAGGTCTTGGCATTTAAGGCTCTACTTTATTAGATTAAAATACTTTTTGAAGCCGTGATTTCCTCGGCTCTCAAGTGAGCTGTATAACATATATGTAATACAACATAGGCAGTATAACTAATCAAATCGCCCTCATTCATCATCTTCTTTAACTAAATTAACTTAAAGGCTTGTGCTGTAAGGTGTATTTTCATGTTTGAATGTTTTCCGGACCAGCTTGGGTTTTTCTTAAACCTTCTTAAAATTCAGTGCAACAAATTGTACTTGCTGAAAACTATAATTTTGTATAAGGAGCTAAAATCCCATGGAAGGAGAGAGACTATTTTTTTCCCCTGTGCTTTTTCTGTAGCTTAGCTCATGCAGAAGCCTGAGAGGCCTAAAGTGCACAATTTAGTGACACTATCCAGATAGGTAACTGTGGACTCAGGAATTTGCTATAAGAGGAGCATAATGGCAACTTGGAACCAGGCACCTCATGCAAGAAGATGAAAATATGTCTTAGGAAGCAGAGGGAAAGGTAGGCTTCTGGTTAAGGCCAGCTGGATTAGGGGACTGTTTGGATCCTATATTTTTCCATGTGCTTCCTGCATGGCCTTGTTGAAACCATTTTGTTCTTTTGTGGAGCAAGATGATGTTCTACTCCCTGGTCCTATCCATACTGGCTTCCTTGTCGCTGTGGTCCAAGCGAGGATGGTCCAAGCCATGGCTGGTGGGACAGACTTGGCAGGAGATGTGTTGTTTGGCCCAATTGTTTTCATCTCCAGAGAAAAGAGCAAGTGACTTGGGCAAAGGTCTTGGCGTGTTGCAGCAGCTGAACAGCAGCTCTGTAAGCACACCCTGTGTGTCTGCAGGGTGGAGGAGCAGTTAGGGCTGGAGAGCTGCTGCTGTGGGAGTGTGTCCATACAGCGTGCTTGGAGATGGGCTCAAAAACTGGGAAATCCTGAAACTGTGCTCCAACAGACGGAGCTGGATGGCCCCTTGGGGATGTTATCTGTGGAGAGTTTACCATAACATGGCAAGGCTCTGGATGCCAGGATTAACCAACACTTCTCACAGGAGTAAATCCTCCATTTTTTGTGACTTGTTTCGATAGCATTCTGCTAATGGCAGCATCTTGGATGGTAAGAAATGTCAACTGTCTGTATTACAGACAGGAACAAACTGTCTGCTTAGCAGAGATTTTCCGCATGATGTCTGTGCATCCCCTAACCCTGCTGCTGAGGGCTGGGCTGAGCTTTTATTCATCTGTCCTTTTACATGGAATGGAGACTCAAGCATTTATTTATTTTGAGAGGGGAAACTGTAGAGAGCTGAATGATACTTGCTAGTGGGAGATGAAAGAAGATGTAAGTTGATTTGGACAATGTAAAAGTTCGATCTGGCCTGAGGCTCGGACAAAAAACCTGGTATTTGTTGCGAAGAGATTGGGAGGTTTGAGCCATAAATCCCTGCAGCTGACCTGGTCTAATAAGGAGCAGTTTTCCCCTGCAACAGGTGTGAGTGACTGACATGCAAAGAGAGGGGAAAATGAGCCCTTCTTTCTATTATTCTTCAACTGCATATCAAATGAGAGGAGTCCTGTTAGTGTGCTACCCCTCTCTCCTTTGACGAGGCAGTGCACTGTCAGATCAGGTTGTTTGTATTACTTTAGAATGGAAAAGAATAAAGGCAGTTTCTATAAAGAAGTACTTGAAAAGGCTTCATTGGTTTTTCATCAGAGCTGCTGGAAACCTTCCTTCCCCCACTGTCCCTTCCCCAGTCCCACCCCTGAAATGCTCACCTCTTTCTGCCTTTGTCAGGGAAGTGTCAGATTTGACACCTTTGCTGTAAAGTACAGAGATGCAAATGGCGAAATCCAGCAACACCTAATCAGAGGATGTAAACTTTCTGTGAACTTAATTTGTGGATTAAAAAAAAAAAGAAAAAAGCCGTTTTGCTAATAACACATTTCTAAAATGCTTTTGCCACTTGAAAAACTCTTAGTGTTACTGCTTTGACCTAGCTTTTTCTTTTCAGCTAGTACAGGACTGGTAAGTGCTCAGGGGACAGGCCTGTAATCCCTGTGCTGTTCCTAACCATTCTGGCTTTGGGAGAGCAGCTGTCTGGGTGGCCTCACCTCTGCCTGTTCCTTGCTGCAGGAGCAGGGATGGTGTGTGCCCAGGTCTGCAGTTGCTGTGGCAGATGTGCAGGGAGCTGTGTGGGCCACCAGCCCAGGAGGGTCACCCCAGGTGTGAGAAGTGCAATATATGCAGGAATGGGAAAAGGGAGAGGCAGATGGGGAAGGCCAGCTCTGACTCCCATTCTCCAGTGCCAATCCAGGAAAAGTTAAGCAACACCATCCACTGTGCTGCTTAGAGATGGCTTTGCTGCCCCTGCCCCCGCCCCCATCCACTGCCCAACCAAGGCTGGCACTTCTCTGTGGACTCTGGGATGTGTTTCTGTCAGTAAAGTGTCAGGATTTGCACTTGCTTTCAACAGGAGTGTTACAGAGAGCTCTAACCCGAGGGTCTTTCATGAGAAGGAAATGAAGCTGCCTCTGGTGTTCCTGCAGCAGCAGAGGGGCTGGAGTGGCTGCCCCAGCCCAGGATCACCCCTGGATGTCACAGCCGAGGTCAGTGAGCTCAGACAGATGTCTGTAGTGCTGCTGTGTATGCTGGTGTGAGCCACAGGCTGGGCTGGGGCTGTTGTGGCTTCACCTCCCTCTTGAGAGCCCCCTGACAGAAAGGGCCTTTTCCAGCTGTAGCAGGTAAGGGGCTGTGGCTGAGTGCAGCAGGGTGACAATGCAGTGACGTGCCCTGTGTGCACTGCCCGTGGTGGCACAGCAAGGTATTGTTACCCAGGCTAACTGGGGAGAGTAAAAGTATCAAACAAGGTGTGATACCTGGGGTAACAGCTTTATATGAATAAACCCTGACTTGTGCTGGGCCTAGAGAGGTACAGCCTCAGTCCAAGAGGTCATCTTGTGTGTAGGGTGTCCCAGGCTCCTCTTTCATTTGCACTTCAAAACACTGACCTGCCTCCCTCCCTAAAACAGAAAGGTCACTACAGAAGCTTTCACCTCCCCTTGCTCAGCTGGTTTTTGCCCCTCTCACCCAGTTCAAAGGGAGTTTAGCACAAAAGGGGATGAGAAGAACCAAACAAATTTGATGGCCATCTTTGAATAAGAACGCCCACCTCAGGTAAAGAAAATTACAAAGGAAAGGTCTTACCAGTATCCTAATTTCCATTTTTATTATTCCATAGGGTTCTTAGCAAAACCAAGTTACATGTCTAGTCCCTTGGTAGTTAGGTTGCTTCCTTTGTTGCTTGTTCTGTGTTTGAGAACTTCACAGTCCTTTTTGTTTCTCTTTACAATGGCAGCTCTCTGAAAGGTATTTCCACAGCATAAATAACCTGGCATCTCCCCAAAGTAGGAATAGGGAGGGGTCAAAGCTCATATACAAGAATGCTGAGGGTCCCCCCCCAAGCCCCTAGAAACATTAATTGTAAAGAATACCTTTCAAATCCATTGCACTCTCTATTTAACTTTGCATTTGAGGGGGAAAAAAAAAAAGATTCTAATCGACCAACCAACCACAAAAAACCACCCTCCCTCTGTGAAGTTATGCCCCAGGACAGGATTTGCCTAGCACTTCTGAAGTTAGGGCTGTACGTGTAGGAGCAGCACCTTCAGATGGCAGATCCAGTACAGTAGGTTTGAGAATGGCATCCAGACCAACCAGCCTAGAAATCTGTGGCCTAAGACCAACCATAGCCAGGATGACCTTGCTCCCTGCAATAACTTAACATTTGAATTCGACTACTTAACAATGCTTAGCACAAGAATTAAGTGCTTAATTACCAGCATTGTTTCCATGATATACACATACTGTTGATATTAGTTAACAATAGGGAAATGTATTTTTAATTTTTTTAAATGGGTTAGAAGTGCATCATATTCCACAATATATTCCACGTTGTGAATTCAGTTATTTTTTTTATTAAAGATTAAAAATAAAAAACATTTGACATCCTAATATACATAAAGTCACAATAAACTCAAATGTGCTAAAAGCAAAATGTGCATAAAGACGCTCGTTTCTAAAAGGCACCCTGCCACCAGTATCTTTTAAATGTTTGTCTACTTCCACCAGGTTTCTAGTTTTCTCTCCCTTCACTGAAGGTGAGACTCTAGACTGCTACTGAGTACAGATGCAAACAAGACCAACCCCTTTCAGGGGTCTGCGCTACCACTAAAAACACTTAAAACCGTGCATGCAGACTTAGCTTGAGCTTCTCATGGAGTTAACCATCACGATTTAAAATGCACAAGGGCTTTTCCTTAGAAGAAAAAGGTAGTGGTATTCGGGCCACTTTTAAGGGCCAAGAAAGAAAGAGAGAGGGTTATAAAATAACTGCTGTGTATCCAGAGAGCTTTGCTACTACAACCCAACTCCCTCCCCCTCCCCCCACCTCTCATAAAAACAAACCCCTGAAGTTACAAAATGCCACACACAGAGATGAAATGTTAACGCGTTCGCTATTAGCCTGTCAGGGTGTGACAGCGTCAGAGTGCCACTGATGCAGTCCCGGAGAGTGTGCACACACTCCCCTCACAGCTCACATACACACACGTGTGCTGACGGTGCCCGCGCTGCCGTGGGCCCCCGGCTCTCCTCCATAGGTAGGTCTGCGTTGTCTCCCGCTCCTCCGTTACCAGGGTCTCCACATGGATGTGGGCAGGCCGGGCGAGGGCAGCCCGCACGTCTGCGACGCGTCCAGTCCGTCCGTGCGGGTCTGGCCCGGCTCGGCCTCCGCCTCGTCCGAGTCGGAGCAGGTGTCCTCGCTGGGGGACGGCGAGGGCGCCGGGGCGGGCAGGGCCAGGGGGGCCCCGGCAGGCAGGGCCAGCAGCGCGGCATCCCCCAGAACGTCCGTGAGCGAGTCCGGGCAGCCGCCCTCGCTGAGGGGCATGGACTCCAGCAGGTGGTTGAGCAGCTCGGCGGCCGTGGTGGCGTCGATGCCGGGGCAGCTGGAGACGAAGGTGTGCACCTCGTGCATGCACTGGATGTACCCGGCAGCGAAGCGCTCGCTGGCCTCGAGGAGCCGCCGCCCGCCGCCTGGGACACAGAGGGGTGCGGGTGAGGCGCGGGCCGCGCCGGGCGCTCCCCGCCGCCCCCCGGGCCCGCACTCACCGCGGGCGCGGCGCTCCAGCACGGCCCGCACCCGCCGCACCGTCCGCTCCAGCACCTCCGCGTTCTCCAGCTTCGCCTGAAACTGACCCGGGGCGCCGCGGCCGTCAGCGCGGCCCCGGGCCCCGCCGGCCCCCGCCCCGCCGCGCCGCCGCCTCACCTCGCTGTCGGCCAGCAGCAGCCGCAGCTCCCGCAGGCTCTCGTTGATCCGCGCGCGGCGCTTCTTCTCCACCAGCGGCTTCCTCGTCTGCGGGGACAACAGCGCCATCAGAACCCCCGCCAGTCCCGGCCCGGCCCCGCCCCGCTCGCCGCGGCCCCCGCCGCTCACCCTGCGGTCGTTGCGGGGCTCGGCGCAGCCCCGGCCCCGCGGCGGAGGGTCCGTGCCCGGCGCCATGGCGGCCCCTCAGCCCCGCGCCCGCCCCGCGCCGCCCGCCTTATATACCCCGCCATTTGCATGTCAATGAGCCCATTGGCCGCGCCGCGCGAGCCGCGCCGCGCGTGGGCCGAACGGGCCAATGGGCACCGCGCGCTTTGTCTGCGCCGGGGCGGGGCCGCGCGGCCGCCGGCGCTGAGGGACCGGGAATGGGAGCGGGACCGGGAATGGGAGCGGGACCGGGAATGGGAGCGGGACCGGGAATGGGAGCGGGACCGGGAATGGGAACGTGAATAGAATCGGGACCGGGACCGGCCCCGCTCCCGGGGCTTGACACCGCCCGGGAACTCTCGGTCCGGGCTGGGGGAAGGGGACGTGCCCCTGCTCGAAGCAGCGGGTCGTGTCAGTCCAACCCTGCAGGGAACCCCCAAACACCCAACGCCCGCTGCGGGTTCAGAGCATCGGGACACGCGTGACTGCGGTTCCTCGGGGGGCCCTCGGTGCCCCTCGCTGCCGACAGGGACCGACCTGGGCGTGAAAGAGCCAGTCTAAGCTCTGAGCGGGAACCAGCAGGACTGAACAGGCACAGCTGGCCGGGGGCCAAGTCTTTCTTGTCCTGCCCCATCTCGGAGGATAGGGAAGCTCCGGCAGCCGGGACTTGGGTGCTTGCCCGTTCAGGCCATGCAGGGCTGTGCTGGACACCAAGGCAGTGCTGGACACCACGGCTGCCCCTCGGGGCAGCCCCTCCCCAGCCCCAAGGGCTGCTCGCCCGCCCTGTGGCCACGGGCAGCCGGGCCCCGAGCACTGGGTGCCATCCCCGGGCGCGTCCAGCCCTCCGCCTCCCCTGTGCTGAAGCGCCGGGCAGGCCGAGCTTTGTGCGGGTAACTTGATGCTGATGACAGTTGGCAGCTGCAGTTCCCCCAGCATACTGAGGCAAATAGAAGCATTAGGGCTCGTCCCCGAGGAGAGCGACAGGTGTTCGCTCCCGCTCCTTTGTTTCCCTCCTTTTATTCTCTTCGCTAATGCATGTCATATTTTTACCCCCCCGAGGAAACGGGAGACGCGTCCCCCGCTTGACTCGGCACTGCCGCACGTTCGCCTCCTTCTATGTGTCCTGCAAAGCTCCCCTCCCGCTCCAGCTTTCTCCCGGTTTGTTTCGCCATGGAAAGCCCAGTGGGTTTTGGTGGTGCTGAGGTTATCCTTGCTGAGAGGTCTGATGTGAGCCGCGGGTGCCCGCAGGTAGGCAGAGCCCCGTGACCCCGGCTCCATCATTTGTTATGGATCCGCACCTGCAGGTCGGTGCCTGGTGTGTCCCGCGTGGTCCAGCGGGTAAGGGCACGTGCTCTGGGTAAGGCTGGGGTGGCTCTTAGTCAGTCCCACTGTTACTCAAGGCTGCTTTTCATCTCCAAAGCCCTGTATAAGCACCCGTGCCTGCACTATGCTAATCCACGTCTGATAAAAGAGCAGACTGGGACAGAGAAGTTCAGCACCGTCTTCTCACAGCCATCACAGAGGAGCACATCAAGGATAGAGCTGACAGTGGGCGGTGTCCTGGCTGGAGACCTAAGTTCAGGCCCCTCTGATTTTTGTATCACAATGGACAGGTGATGTTATTTTCAGAAAGGTATTTCTTGTTGTGTTTCTTGCTTTTATGTTAAAGCATCAGTTCTTGGATTTTGTTAGAGTTTGTCCAGTCAGTGACAAGTTTCCCTGCACCAGGCAGGAGCAGAGTAGGATGTATGGCTAAGTCTGTCCTTCTGCTTTTGATGTATCTAGTTCTCTGTGTAACACAATGTTGGAAACTGGCTCATTCTTTTCATTGATATAATTAATGCTGGCTAAGCAGAAGTGCTGTTTGGACCAGGCCAGGTACAAAAGATTTTTGTATTTAAGTGAGTAGAGACACCTGTGGCTGCATTTTGTTTATGTTTTATGCATTCTTGACCTGGCAGGGAAAAACTACGATTGTATGGGTGTAAACTACAGTGAAGTAAAGGGTGTCACAATTTTGGAGGAGCCATTTTCTTTCTGAAGCAAAAATAGGCACATAAGGTCAGCAGAGGTGTATAAAACACAAATATACTCATACATACTTACAAAATATGCAGTAACCCACAATGTGTGTAATCGTGGCAAAAGATGAACTCCAAGAGTTTGCAAGCTTGTTTTCCCTTCAGAGAAAGCTTTGCTTTTCCTAGAACTGGGCTGGGGGGAGGTGAGTGAGCAGCTGCCTGGTGCTCGGTTGCTGGCTGGGGTTAAACCACAACACGTAAGTAATCAGGTTCTCCAACAGTGGGGTTAACACTGGTGTAAGTTCTGCTGATTTACACAAGAGGCATTGCAGCTCTGTGGCTGCAGGTGCAGTACCTTAACCTGTCAGGCCTCTTTACTGCAGGTGTTGGTGTCAGCTGTGCTTCAGAGCTAATGTAGGCAGGAGGATTAACTGCTAATCTAGGAAAATGTGAAGTGGAGGAGCTCCCAAATTCACCTCAGTTGAAGTTCAGCTGTGTTAGGACTTGGCTGATCAAATGCTGGTGGCTGTTGAACAGCAACGATTTCTCACAGGACTTGGATCTGTGTAGTTCTGAGCAGTGAGGAGCTGCAGGCATAAGTTAAGGACTTCTGAATGCACGAGAAGAGGAGACTCCACCAGCGGGCTAGCAAATCTTGGCCAAGGATGGCTAGAGAAAGGTGGCTGTGGCTAAAGCATCCTGTTTCTGTTCTGACTGGATGGGTGCTGATGGTAAGGCGTTGTACATGTTGCTAGCTCTTGTTCTGCAGCATGTCTTTTTGTATTGTCTTTGAAAAGCTGCGGGTCAAATGAGTTGACAAATGCTGGAGCTGTTTGTGCTGGGCATTAAAAATGTACGTGCCATAAATATCAGGGCATCACTAGAGCTGCCATTCTGGAGGAGGGAGTCACTGCAGGCTATCTCCTCTAGCCCATGGGATAATGTGATATTTTTGTGCTACTTTAAACAAGTTCCATCATATCAGGTGAAGCGAATCGTGGTAACCTCATGCATTTTAATGGAAATGTCAACTGCAATCTAGTAAAAGAAAATGTTCCTTAGATACTTTGTCCAGTACCTCAGTGCTTGCCCATGCATGGTTGTTCCTGAAGGAGATTTCTTTCACAAAACCCATCAACTTACCTGTATCATTCTTTCCAGGTTAAAGACATCCTGCTCCCTGCTGATAGGGAAGTGTATGGGCACTGCGTCCTCCTCTATGGAGGGTGGGAGTTTAACCTTTGCTACAGTGGGCAGCTCTGTCCTGTCAGAGATGGGCTCCTACACGTGCTGCAAATTGCAGTCTAGCCAAGGAACAGCATAGTTTTGGCAGATAACAGGATCTGTGCCCCGCTGCATATGCTCTCCTGCAAGCCTGTGCATAGGGAAGTATAACACAGCATATAATAAGAGGCCTTAATTCTTTGTAGTTGATGCAGCTGGGGTGGTAAAGGCAGCTGTGGGAGGCAATTCTGCAGCCTCAGCTATGTGCCATGTGTTTGGGAGGGCCAGGTAAGAGGCAAATCCTGATGACATGGGGGAGTCTGACATGTAATGCCTCACACAGGTGAATTTGGAAGGTCTCCAGCTCCCAGAAGTACATCCACAGAGACATAATGAAACTCTAAAAATTTTCAAGTACTCTAAAGGCCAGTGTGCTGCCATCTGTGTTCTTGGTCTGGAAGCACTGGTGACCCAGGCTCTCCATGGATAATATAATCAGAGCACGCAATAAAGACATGATGAGCATGGACAAGGTCCATTGGAAATGCTTGAGTAGTTTCTTTCATAAATGGCATAACATCTGTTGTCGTTGGAGGCACAAGTTCCTGTCAAAAAGACACGTCACCCTTATAAATATTAATGGTGCATATAAATGGTGGTGGGTGTGAACTGCAGCGGATGTCAGGTTAATGGGTGAATTGCTCCTTAGGCATCAGTTTGCTGTCATCATACTTATTTCTACACTAACAAATACAAACTGTTTAGGTGGCAGAGCAAGCAAAGAACTATCTTCCCCCTCCTCCTCTCCCTGGAGTCCCTTCACAAATGAAACTTGTACTGTAATTAGTCTCCTGCCTTGTCACTAATGAAAATTAGTCCTGCTTGCAGGGCCGAGGAGGAGGGGAGCATGCCTGGAGCCAGAGGAGCTGAGGCTGTAGGTGATAAATGAAGCGAATGAGGAAGGCTGTTTGGAGAAGTTTGCAGCATTCCCCATCAGCTTGATCCTTGCTGCCTTTAGTGCCATCGATTTCTCTGCTGTTAAAAGCTGATGTTTAAGAGGAAAATAGGGTGGAATATCACCACTGAGCTGCTCTTGGACTCCAGTCTGTTACTGTAAATTGTGTTTGCTGCCTTGAGCACTGAGGTCCTGTTGCCCTTTTCAAAAACCATAAGGCTTTTCCTATCTTTTTTTTATTTATCAGCAGACTTGGCAGCAGCACTCGTGTTCATCAGCTGGGGCACAGAAGAACAGTTTCTGCCAGCCACAACACTAATGAGTACATTCAGAAGGGTCTTATGTCCATTTACAGAAGAACCCCAAGACCCCATTTGCCAACTGTGGAGTCTCGGGGTCCCCCTGTGCCTGAGAGGATGGGCCCTGCTTTCTGCTATTTCAAAGGTACTTGGACCTTCTGCTATTTCAAAGGTACTTTAACTTTCTGCCATTTCAAAGGTGGTGATTTTCAAATGCAACAAGTGGTGAGGGGCTGTGCTGAGCAAGCAGTGAGGACAGTGGAGCGTCTCCCTGCCCATGAGTGATGGATGAGTGTCATGCACTGCAGGGCTTCCCCCAACAGAACTCCCTGTGCCACTTTGATTACGTTGTCAATCTGTTGGGATCCAGCAGAGATTTGCTTAAACTCATTGCAAACTGCTTCAGCTCCTACCCCTTAGCCAATGGTTCACTGTCAGTGGCTGTGACAGGATCCCATGCCTTTGAGGTTAGAGGGACCCTTGCCCAGTCACATTGTGTGAAACGAATTTATTTCAGGGAGGTGAGAATAACTGTT